AACATAAACGTATCTATCGTTTGCCAATATTAACAGTTAAAAATCAGAAGGCAACTCAACCGTTCCTGAACTATCTGTAAAATGGAATTTTTGAACAATACAACTAATCGATAATTGGATATCTCTAAACTAAATTTCTGGTTGCTGCAGAATTCAAAACTGAATATAAAAAACAAAAAACTCCCATAAGCAACCCCCATTGGTATCATAGCCTGCATTGAACCTATCACTTCCCGAGACTTTTGCCGTCTCGACCGAGGTCATGGTTTTTCAATTGAATTTTTAGTATTAATAATTAATGTGTGAACTTAATAATGATTTGGAATTTCAATTTATCTATCTCTCAATAAATTAATGGGAGAACGTAAAAAATTATTTATTATAATAAGATTTTTACTAAGTTGGTATAGTGATGTGGTTTAATAGTTCATAACAATATTGAACAACTTGAATTGAAATAATTAAGGCTGCAGCTTACATCAAAATTTCTTCGAATTACAATATCATATACAAAGGTTATCGGCTTTAATGACGAAAACGCCATGTTGGATGATTCAGATGGCTTTTATAACGTGATTTTGAATGGATATAGCGATTGGATTTACTTACTGGATTTCTTTCAGTTTTTAGAAAAAATTATCGTATACAGCGACAATATCTCACTTATCGAGGAAATATTTTATTTCAATCGTTCTCAATGTAAGAATCACATTTATAGGATCAATTTCATCCCCACTCTTAGCGTTAAATTCATATTTCTGTTTAGTAGTTAAATAAGAATAACGAAGATCAAAAGGTTCTAGATATAAGAAAAATTCTATATATGTTGCCGACTGGAGACTGAAGAGTCTAATAATAACTTGACTCGAGAATTCAACATAAATCTCACGATTTGAAAAAATTGCGAATCTATTAGAGGGCATGGTGAATCATTTATATCCAAAAAACAAAGACTACCCATCTAATCACGACAAAATCGGTTCTTCTCAATATTCCTATTAGACAAGAAGCTACCGACAATTTTATTTAACGGAAGGATTTATAGCTAGTAACCATTTTAGATTATACATAAACCTCATCTGAACACTCAACTTCGGTTCGTCAGTTGAAAGTCATTCATTGCTTTCTATACGGAAATTTAAATTAACAAGGCGAAATTTGACAGTTCATTTAACGGAAGAATTGAAATAAAATGGCTGAAATTTTTATATGACATAGAGAATATGTTCCTAAAAGATAATTCACTTTGACTGACATCAAAGTCAAGGGGCGGGGTGGCCGAATAGGCTAAAGCGTGTGTAACAGCACCGCTAGTTGCCTGGCAACCGGATAACAGAGATTTGAGATGATATAAAAAGTACGAGTTCGCGTCCCGGTGCCGGAGGGGATTTTAAATTTCCCCGCCCTCACCCCCCGGCCCGGGAAAATCCCGTATAGCCTAAAAGGCGAGGTAGGGAAGAACAAAAAAAAAATAAAAAAAAAAAATAATGCTTTTAGGAATGAATTTTATGGGGGCGGGGTGGCCGAATAGGCTAAAGCGTGTGTAACAGCACCGCTAGTTGCCTGGCAACCGGATAACAGAAATTTGAGATGATATAAAAAGTATGAGTTCGCGTCCCGGTGCCGGAGGGGATTTTAAATTTCCCCGCCCTCACCCCCCGGCCCGGGAAAATCCCGTATTGCCTAAAAGGCGAGGTAGGGAAGAACAAAAAAAAAAAACAAAAAAAAAGTCAAAGTCATAACATTAGGGCAGTTGGAAGGTAGTTAGTTGAAGAAAAAATTCTTTTTTTTGGATACTGAATCTGAATTTGACGTTCCAGAACATAAAATTCATTTATTTCCGTTATTGACAGTGACAAGTGGATAGATATAGGTTACGTAACAATATAAAAATAAAGATGGGTCGTCTATAACAATTATACATTATAACAACGAAATTTACCAGGTCTCTTAAGGTCGTTATAAACAACATCCACTGTATATTAATTCCAATTTAAAAAGAATATTTTCGAACTAAAAAAATTCCCTGACTTTTCCAGGTTTTCCCGGTCGGTCGCCACCCTGAACATTCTAGTTTTTAAGCAGTGGACTGTACCTTAAGGGATTGGTAGGTTAATGATTGTGCAAAAAAATAGCTAACCTTCTATATGCCAGCCTACATCTTTTTTGCCTTGGAGGGCCCTCCGCCATCGGTCCTTGCAGGTTGAATGCTGGTCAAGTAGTGGCTTTGAGTCAACCAGTCTCTCACAAAGCTTAAGTGTTATCTCTTATCTTTTAGAACTGCCTCCACCACTCGCCATAAGGCGGGAAATTTAAACCTTCCCTGGCACAACCATATCCTCTACCGTGAAATATCTCATTTCACAAAGAAAAAACCAAATTCAGAGATTGGTGATTACCGGACAAGGCACAAACGAGAAGAAAATTGCTTGGATTACAATAAACAGAGAAATTAGCCTAATAATTTACAATTAACTTAAAATAAAATTATTCCTCATTAAATTTAAACAAAAAATATACATATCAATAAAAAGTTTCTCCAGAAGGGAGAGGCACTAACTTGTGCACCAATCACACCAAAGCGGCTGTAGCAGTCCTCAATTTTACAACCCTAACTACACTGTTGGGCCCTGGAAGTGTCTCTATTATCCTGGCAAGCTGCCACTCCTTCAGTGAAACATCTTTTTCATGCAGAATTACAAGGGTTTCCTCCTTTAAATTTTTTTTACCAGTATACCAGTCGTTGCGAGGCACCAGATGATGAAGGTATTCATTATACCACCTCTTCCAAAAATTACGAAGAGTCTTGGAAATCATCTCCTAATGACTTGTCAAAGGAAATACTGGGGCGTCTTCTTGTTCTGGTCAGGCTAGGAGGGGTTAACCTATAAGAAAGTGTCCTGGTGTAAGGTAATCCAGGTTATCCGATGGCTGCTTGCTAATGTTGCAGATAGGACGGGAATTGAGAACGGCTTCAACTCGTACAGGAAGAGTATAAAATTTCTCATAAGTTAACACATGATCCTGGAGAACGGCAAGAAGGTGTCTCTTAGCAGATTTAATAGCTGCCTCCCAAATACCACCGAAATGAGGAGATGCTGGAGGAGTTAAATATCCATTTTATACAAGTCTTACACAAATAGTCAGAAATGGGTTCGCTCTGGTCCTTAACAAATTGATGAAGCTCCTTTAACTTCTTGGATGCTCCAATGAAGAAGGAAAAAGGTCCGACCAGGTAGCAGCAGCTGGAGGAAGACGCCAGGTAGAGAAGGGTCACTTTAGGCCTGGACATGAACACGAGAAGACGTAATCTGGGAAGAGAGGCTTACTACATTGAAGACTAAGAATATCAGGAGTGTAAATAAACTAGTTCCCCGATATATAAACGTAAGGCTATTCGCCTATTCCCGCCAAAACAATATTTACATTTAACTTTATTTAGTTATTTACAGTGGACATGCACACAAAGAGAGCTAACCAACATTTCGACTTAGGAGCATTGCACTTACTGGAAATCTTCATAATGAAGGGGATGCCATAGTCTATTCCAACTTGCTCAAAATAATGACCTTCGATCACCCTGAAGGACGCTAAGTCACTCATTTTTGGAGTCTGTGGTTTCGCATTATTTTTGTGGCACGTAACACATTTATAAATACGGCTTCTAACGAGTCTTCTTAGAGAAGGGATCCAAAATTGGCGATGAATGTGACTGGACCAACAGGGGTCCACCATGCAAGGAATAGCTGTGGTAATGATAACACAAAAGGACTGCTAAATGAGAATCTTTAGGTATCATCAGCAGGTGCTTAGTTTTCTCTTTGATTGTGGAATACTTCAATCTACCTCCTACCCTCAGAGCTCTGTCCTTATCAAAAAATGGCGTGAGCCTGTTTAAGGAACCCTTATATGGTTTGCCACCTTCAAGACAATCAATTAATTCAAAGAAAGATGTCCTCTGAACGGGTCTTATATAAATCATCAAGGAATTCTTAAGATGGTCGGCATTCAAGGTTCCCTCAGCAAAACCATCTTGCTCCCTATCTCAGCAGCATTTAATAAATTTTAAAATGAAAGCAAAAACTCTTTGCAACTTTAAAAGCCTTGAATATTTTTCCAGGAAAAACAACAAATCGTTAGGTTTTTCAGCCGCTAAAAGAGATATTGCTTTTACCTCAGGCAGAACGGATGAAGCTTTAATGTGATAAATAGGCCTGTCAGAAGGAGGTAATGAAATAAATGCCGGGCCGTTCCAATAAGGCTCATGTGAAAGTATCTGGTGTGGTGTGAGGCCTCTCGATAAACAATCTGCTGGATTCTGTTTCGTAGGAATATAATGCCAACAATAAGGTTCTGTAACTTCCAAAATCTGCACTACGCGATTGGCAACATAAATTTTAAGTTCATGTGGTGGTGTCTGTAACCAATAGAGTACGTTACGAGAATCTGAAAAATAATAAACTTCCTCAATTTTTAAATGACTTTTAAGTTTACCGATACACGTAAGTAGTCTGGAGGCAAGAAGAGCAGCATTACTCATAAAGCGGTAAAGCAGGAAATTTAAATGAAAACCATTCTTTGGCCAAACAGCAATATTATATTACTTAAATTTCTATCCTAGCAGTCTATTCTATTCGTCCCTTTGCATCGTCAAAGGGTTAATCAATATATAGGTTATCTATGAATAGTTATTCAGTTTGAGTATATAAATTAGTTACTTTTCCACTAAACTATTTAAATAAACCACAATTCAGTCAAAATATAATTATACTGAAGAAAAATCAGTTTATTTTTAACTTAAAATATTGAAGTGGTACGTTAATATTGTTTATCAGCGTATTTAAGTAGACCTACAACTTTTTCCTTCCAAATTTTTTAATTAGACAATTTATTAGCCCATGAGAAGCATTTTGGCCAATTTATATTGGACATCCAATGATTTTTTTTTTTTTTATTCAATAATTATTTAGTGTATGCTGGTACTGATTTGAAAAACTAACCTTTTTCTGCTTTCTTGCATCAAATTCGAAGAAATTATCAAGATATGTAGTCTAAAACAGAAAATAAAAAACAGTACCCATATTAAAATATATATTAAAATATAAAATATGTAAGAATAGAGATTATTATCTTAAACTATATGAACAAAGCAACCTGAGTAACAAGATCCTAAACTGAAGTAAATAGATGCTAACAATTGTTGTAGTGTAATATATAATAAATGAAAATGTGAATATACTTCTACAAATCTACAGGAGAGATTGAAAGAAAAGGAAAAAGGATATAATATGAAATAATAGACATAAAAGAATGTGGAGAAAGAAAAGAAAAAGGAAACCAAAATTAGATAAATAAGTAAATAAAATGGAAGAATAAAATTAGAGACTTCCAGGTGTGTTCAGCTAGGAGTTTCACTTAGAACTGGAAAACCAAGGGTAAGGGCAGGTATAGGGGAAGCTAACATGTGTGAGTAATTGGGAAAAACCTAGGAAATTACAGTATCTAAAATTTGAAGATGGATGGATACAATGGAAAAATACTATATCTATGAAATATTAAATTATAAATACATAAATATACATATAAAATAGAATTGAGAGATTATAGATCAGAGTACAATGTGAATAAACCCAAAATTGGCAAAAGTAAAATATAAATATAGAAATAACTTCATTTACATACATACATTGCAGAACTAACTTAAAAGTATAGAGAGGGAAAAATTAATAATTATAATTATATTTGGTTGTGCATATGTAAGAAAATTACATTTGAATATTAGATAATATTGAGACATGGTTAATAAGTAAAATGAATACAAAGTGGAAAAAGGATGATCATACATTGATGTAGAGTGTAAATGTAAATTTAGAATAAAATAAAAGAGAGATCATACAAAGAGGAAATATTTAGAATAATGAACAATTAAATGAATTAATCAATAAAAATTGAGAGTAGATGAAAATAATAAAATAGAATATTTAAGTTATTTTTCACTTATAAGATTTAAAATGTGCCTATATGTTAAAGAAATACAGTTTTTGTCTACTTTATGATTAACAGGATTCTGTTCCATGTGAATGTGGATAGATTCGGAAAGGTCCTGAAGAAGACCTGCAAAGTTGGGTCGAAACGTCGGCTTTCAATAAAATAGTTTTACCACTATTTAGCCTATCTATGACTCTCAATTCTACCTTTCTACGGGATTACCAAATTCTACAGTGCCGGTTAGAGCACAGGTTTCACAGCCATACAGCAGAACTGGCATTATCATGGCGTTGTACACCTCAAGTTTGAGATTTTTCTGGATTTCAGTACCCTTGAAGCTGTGTTTGCACTTAGTATTCGCTCGTCTATCTCCAATAATGGAGTTATCATTTATTGAGGTTATTGTGGAGCCAAGGTATTTGAATCTATCTCCTTTCGGGAATGACTTAAGAGTCCATGCAGGTCATGCCATCAGGGTGGATATTTCAGCTATCATATATTTTGTTTTTTCTTTATTGACTTGTAGCCCGATTAACTCTGCTTCTCTTAACAGAGTCCGAGTGAGTTTCTCAATATCCTCTTGATTGTTTCTGAGGACAGTTATATCATCCGCATATGCTAGGTTTTATGTTTCGTTCCGACGTGCACCTCTCCATCTTCGCGTGATGTTGTTCTTATTGCTTTCTCACGGTCTAAGTTAAACAGCATTGGTGAGAGTCCATCTCCCTACCTCAAACCTGGTCGAACTTCAAAGGCTTCAGATACTTCTCCTTGTATTAGTATTCTGCATTTAGGGTCACTTGTACATACCTGAAACCCTAATAACCCAGCTTAGTCATAATCTTCCAGAGACAGTTTCAGTCCACAGGAACACCCAGCTTAGTCATAATCTTCCAGAGACAGCTTCAGTCCACAGAGTCATAGGTTGATTTGAAGTCGACAAATAAGGCGTGCACGTCCTGATCTACTTCCCATCATTTTTCGAGTACTTGTTTTAGGATGAATATCTGGTCTATCGTACTCCTTCCTCTCCTGAATCCTGCTTGGTGGTCGCCTATTATGTTTTTATAATACGGATATATCTAACTTAGCAGAATATTAGTCATTATTTTATAAGCAACCGGAAGGAGTTCTATGCCTCTGTAATTACCACATTCGTACATAGAGCCCTTCTTAAGGATAGGACAGATCAGCCCTGTGTTCCAGGCTTCTGGTATCCATTCCGCCTCCCATATTTTCAGGATTAGTTCTAATAGTTTTGCTCTGAGGTGATCTCCCCCATTCTTGAACAATATAATTCTGATGTAGGTTGTCTACCCCGGGAGCTTTTCTTCTTTTAATCCTGGCGATAGTTATTTCCACATCCAGAATATCTGATTTTTTCAATTTCAAGTGAGTCGATGTCTTCTTCATTTTTAAGGTGCCCTTGATTGAGGAGCTGCTGGAAGTGTTCTCCAGTCCTTCTAGAAGCTTAGGATCTTTTCTTTTGATGCTGTCAATTTGCTATCTTTTCCTCGCATTTGCGTATTTCTTGCTTTGTATCCTACCCTTTCTTTCCTGATATCTGCAAAGAATTTGCATATATTTTCAGCCTGCCAGTTTTCCTCAATAGTTTGTTATCTTTCTTTGAGGAATTCTCTTTTTGCTGTTATTATTTTGTCTGCCTTTTTCCTGGTGGCTACGTATTGGTCCAGCATAGCTTAATCAGTTTGTGCTAAGCAGAGGATTTTTCTTCTTTCCTCCACCGCTTTTCGCATTCTTCTATGAAAAATTTCTTGGATTTTCTCTTTTCCTGAATCCCTATTACTGCCTTAAATGTTTGTTTTATTCCTGACCCTAGTGCCTCCCAATGTTGGTCAACCGTGAGACCATCCGCGTTCAAGAGTTCGAATTTATTTTTCAGCTCAATTTGGAATTCAGTCATAGGATTATACAAATTAAGGACTTCATACCTCTTTCTTTCGACTTGATCACCAATTTGGTGGATTCACTTCAGCCTCTGACAGAGTTTGATTCTAATCAGAGTATGGTCCGAATCACAGTCTGCTCCATAATAACTCCTTATGTCTTGTATGGAGCTTTGATGTCTCTTGTCAATCAGCACGTGGTCGATTTGGCTTTTTGCTCTTTTAGGACTTACTCAGGTGTACTTATATATAATTTTGTGTGGGATTATCATACTGCTCACTACTAGACCTTTAGCTGCTGCCAGACTGAAACATCTCACTTTATGATCACTGCTTGTTTCGTGGAGACTTTGGCCTCCGATGATGGGCCTAAATTGGGTTTCTCAACCAATCTTGGCATTGCAGTCTCCCATGATTAATTTGATGTCATATTTTGGAGCCCGGTCCACAACTTTTTATAACTGATTGTAGAAATCGTTTTTCACCTCATCTTCCTTTTCTTTGGTTGGTGCATACATACTAATAATTGTGATATTAAACTAACGACCTCTTATGCGCAGCACACATATCCTTTCATTAACTGTGGTGAAGTTTATTACCAACTTCCTTGCGACCGGATTAACTATGAATCCAGTGCCAGAGCCGTTCCATTTTTGTTATTTCTCCCGGTGTAGAACAGTGTGTGGCCGTCTATAGTGGATTCACCACCATCTGGCCATCTTACCTCTTGTATGGCTGTTAACGGTATGGAGTACCTTTTTACTTCATTTACTATGGTTTGAAAAGCCTCTGGTCTATACAAGCACTGAACATTCCATAATCTGATATGGAGTTCATCATACAAAGGCGAGGTCGTTACATTGTTGAGACACTCAGATTTTCTGAGCCTGAGCTTTGGTTTCGTAATATCGTTGTTGTTTTTTTTACCACTTAGAGGCTTTCATTGTTTGTAAACTATTCTTCACCTTAAAAGTCTTCTAGTTCAGAAACTTCCAGTACAGCAACACTTTCTTTTACTATAGATTACCAAATTTTAAAATAATATAGGTTTAAATAGGTATACAAATAAATTAAATTTAATGGACTCAGACATTAAACTAATACTGATCATATGTTTTGTAGTAAGTTAAACAGAAAAGAATAAGTAAAATTTGTTTAGTAAGAATTGTTTTATAATGCCAATGAGATTAATTTGTCTTTACTCATACTGACCGTACAAGTTGTACAAAGTTTGAAATTGAATAATGGGTGAAAATTTTCAGTACAGTTGGTGCACACTAAGCAAAAATTATAAGGATCTTTCCTCCTCACCACATCTGAAAAAAATTTTAAGTTAAAAAATATCAGTTAATCTTTTGCTATTTATAAAATAGATAGATTTTGACAGAAATACAGATATATTTAATAGCCAGCATATGACAAACATTAAATCTAAATATAAAGAAAAATGATACTGTTGGATTTACATCTACAATTTTTTATGTATATAGTATTTTAAATTATGTTAATTGGCTTACATAAATAACATGGGGGATCCTGGTCCATTATTCTAGCCTCATCCTGCACTATCCTCTCTTTCAGATGGCGTTATCTATGCTCTTAAGACAGATGCTAGCGGACGAAGCGAGGAACTCATAACCAGACCTCGAGAGTCACAGCCCTTCGGCTAATTCCAGGACTCTGGACGAACGACGGAGAGAGAGAGAGAGAGAGAGGGAGAGGGAGAGGGAGAGGGAGGGGGAGAGGGGGAGAGGGGGAGAGGGGGAGAGAGGGAGAGGGGGAGAGAGGGAGAGAGGGAGAGAGGGAGAGAGGGAGAGAGGGAGAGAGGGAGAGAGGGAGAGAGGGAGAGAGGGAGAGAGGGAGAGGGAGAGGGAGAGGGAGAGGGAGAGGGAGAGAGAGGCCAATGCAGCCGTGACGTCACCGAATCTTATCACGATACTTTGCAGCAAACAATTACATCACCTGATCGGAAACATACGTGTCATGAGGCTATCACCGAGAAGAATTTAAGTTATAAGAATGTAAATGAAGAAAATAGCCGAATAATATTAAAGCTGCAAGAATTTTTACTGAATGCCCAAGCAAAACAAATAAGCAAGACGGCAGTTGAGATGGTTCTTGCGGCGGCACGTAAACTGGAGGATAACTGTAATAAGCTCATAATTGAAAATGCAGAATTAAATGGCGAAATAAGAGTATTAAGAAACCAAGCCTTCTGCCCTACACCTGTTACTTTCGAAACGCATGGTCTAGAGACATTAAAGCTGGTAATGAAGGACATAATAAATGAGGAGGTTAAGCCTCTCGTCACTGAAAAGGTCGATACCACAAAAAAACAATCTTATGCCTCTACATTAGTTGGGAAAAGACAGGAAACTCCTATTGAACCTCCGAGTTCAGTGTACATAGCCCAGACAGACCTAAGCAGGGAAAAATATCCCACTGTACAGGAATTGAAACAGGGGATAAAGAAAAGTTTCACGCCTGCTAAAGAAGGAATCAAAATTAGAGGACTGGTAGAAACAACAAGGGGTGTAATAATTAGGACTCAAACAAAAGAAGAAGCTACGAGGCTCGCTCAGTCGGAGAGAATAAAAGAACTCGGCGCTAAAGTAAACTTGGAGAATAAACGGCTTCCAAGAATAATTATATATGATGTCCCAAGTGACCTGGAGCAAGAAAAGATTGTCGAACTGTTCTGGACCATAAATGCAAAAAAATTAGATCCTAATAAGCAGCACTTCAGCCTTGTTTTCAAGACAGGTCCAAGAGGAAGAGATACAGTTCATTGGGTGGCGGAAGTGTCCCCGGCGGTGAGAAATGAAATATTGGCAGAGGGAAGAGTTTTCCTAGATTGGTCATCCTGCAATGTGAGAGACTGGGTGGCAGTGACACGATGCAATAAATGCCAGGGTTTTTCACATATAGAAAAATTCTGCCCCGAAACTGTCGTAAACTGCGGCTACTGTAGCGAAAGAGGACATGTTTCAGGAGACTGCCCAAAACAAAAGACCGGCGGACCGCCGAAATGCATAAACTGCAGTAAAACCAACTCAGCATCTAACCATCCGACAAACGACAAAGACTGCCCATCATACAAAAGAATAATTGAAAGGCTAGTAATGAGGACAATGAATAATAATTCTGCCCTCCGGATAGCCCAACACAATCTAAACAAGAGAGCGCTCGCAATGTCAGAATTTAGATGCATGGCCTCACTAAATAACATAGATATTGGTGCTCTTCAGGAACCTCCTACTAGGAGAGGGAAGGTGTCTGGAACTGAACCGCAAGACCGCACCATTGCTAGCAATGGAAGTGGGTTACACGATGCACCACAGAGCGCAGTGGTGGTGTTTAATCATTGCCTTACAATTACATCACAGCCTGATCTGGAAGATAGATTTATTTCAGTTGCCAATGTAGATTACGTAGGCATTAACTTTGACTTGATCAATGTTTATGCAAAATTCGCACTCCCACTGGAAGACATACTGACAAAATTGCAGCTGGTAATACGGAAGCTGAGTAAGAACATCTTAATAATGGGCGATTTTAATGCTCACTCAATTTTGTGGGGCAGCCTAAGAACCGATAGAAAAGGCGTGCTGCTGGAGGATTTTGCTGCAAGGAATGGCCTAACCATTGTAAATGATCCCATGGCCTTGCCAACGTTTTCGGGATCCAGCGGAGAATCATTTATCGATATAACTCTGGCATCACCTGGCATTGGCCAGCTTATTAGCTTTTGGAAAGTCGAGGATTGGACCTGCAGTGATCACCGGGTGGTTTTATTTGAAATAAACCTAAACAATGAAAAGCGATACCATAAGGAACGTTTTGTGACGGAGGGAGCTGAGTGGGAACGTGTTGCTGAGAATATTGCATGGCACCTAACAGAGCTGGAGCAACACCATCATATGGAATTAGAAAAAGAGGCAGCGAAAATCACAACAGAAATTTTCACAGCGGTTAAGGAGGTGTTGCCCATAACACGAGAGTCAATAAGAAAGGGACAAGTTTGGTGGAACACACATCTCACAAGCCTGAAGCGGGAGACCTACAGAGCAAGACGCCGATTTCAGCGAGAAAACGATGCTGTTACCAAAAGAAATGTCAAAAAAGCATATTACGAACTTAATAAGAGTTTCCAAAAGGCAATAGGAAAAGCAAAGAAAGAGACATGGCACCGATACCTAGACCAATGCAAAAGCCCTTGGGGACTAGCCTATCGGAGAGCCCTTGATAAAATCTCAAATAGAAACTCCTTCACATCGTTTATGCACAATGGGGATGCAACCAGAACGGCAGATGAGGTTGTTAATGCTATAATGGTGAGATCTTTCCCTGAAGACGAACTAACTTCAGACACAGAAGACCATGCTCACAAAAGAATTACAATGTGTGAACTTCCGCAAACCGACGATGCGCTTCCATGGGAAGAGGAAGACGTGGGGTTGGCTATGGGACAACTCCGATCGGGAAAGGCACCAGGACCAGATATGATAGGAGCCGATATCCTTAGAAATACAAAAAACGCACTGATTAAGCCTTTAACTACGTTATACAACCGATGCTTGAATAAAGGCATTTACCCCTGTATCTGGAAACAGGCTGAGCTGGTTACTATCTTGAAGCCCGGTATAACAGAAGTCACTGCTAAATCTTACCGCCCAATATGCCTCCTAAATGTAATGGGGAAAATTCTGGAAAGCCTAATGCTGCAACGCCTAAAAGACGTAATCGACTTGCTCTCTCCTGATCAATTCGGAGGTCGAAAAGGACAATCAACAACGGATGCCATCAACCAGCTCATATCAACAGCTAAGGACTCGCCCTCTAAATATTTTGTAGTCCTCTTCTATGATGTTGCTGGCGCGTTCGATAATATGTGGTGGCCTGCTATTATGGACGAGCTAAAGAAACTAAAATGCCCCAGAAATATATACAGGCTCATATTATCATTTTTATCGAAGCGCTCTGTCTACTATCAACTTCCGGGAAGGAGAATAACGAGGCCAGTCCAGAGGGGTTGTGCTCAGGGATCAGTTTTGGGACTCCCCCTATGGAATATCAACATGAACCCTCTCCTTGTTAAATTGAGAGCTGCCGGGCATACGCCATCTGCTTACGTGGACGACTTTGCTGTTGGAATAGAGGCAAAATCACGAAATGATTTGGAAATAAGGGCAGCGGAAGTCACTGACATAGTCTTGCAATGGTGCCGAGAAAATAAACTCTCTTTAAATTTTCAGAAGACTCGACTCCTGTTTTTGAAGGGAAAAATGGTAGGGTTTCTCCCCAGAGTAAAGTTAGGAGATGTCCTAATAAAACCATCTCAGGAAGTGAAGTTCTTAGGAGTCCTATTGGGCGAGAGGTGTAACTTCACTAACCACCTAAAAGAAATTAAGAGCAAAACTATTGTCCGTTACAGTTGCCTTAAAACGATGGCAGGGACCACCTGGGGTCTCAAATATAGTTACCGGGAAACGCTATATAAGGCTTCTTTCTTGCCTATTGCATTATATGCGGCGCCGGTCTGGGGCCAGAAACTGAGACAGTCAGACATCAGAGTGCTGGAGCAAGCTCAAAGAAGATCTCTCCTACTGGTGACAGGAGCGTATAGAACGGCACCCACTTCGGCTTTGCAAGTGATTACAGGACAACTGCCTATAGACCTGAAAATACAAATATCTATAGCCAAATATAGAATAAAGAGAGGAGTGCCAGCAAATGTGGGAACAAGCTGTTTTGTGTGCCCTAGTGGAAGGTACGACGAGGTAGCCAACAGAATAGAAGAACTAGTCCTTTCTGAATGGCAGAGAAGGTGGGATGCATGCGAGACTGGAAGACTGGCCCATGAGTTCTTCCCAGATGTCAAGAGAAGAATCAAGAATGACTGGGTGGAGACGGATTTCTGGACAGTTCAACTCCTCACAGGCCATGGAGACATAAATGAAAAATTACATTTTTTTCATAGAAGAGCAAGTCCTAATTGTCACTGCGGGGCTGTTGAGGACGCAAGACACATAATTTTGGAATGTCCAATGTACACTGGCCTCCTCGGTCCCTGGACAAGCTTGTAGAGACACCTGAGATATTTGATGCCTTTAAGAAATACGCCAGGAGGATATTCCATGAAAAAATAGCAAGAGAGGAAAGATTAAACCGGTGATATACCAAATACATAAATTTATTGTTATCATAAGATTTAGAAATAGTATATATAAACTTAGTAATAGGCCCACAATAAGTAGGTTGCAGGCAGCCCATTAGTGTAGGTTTATCCGTAATAATTAATGCCCCAATCAAACTAAAAGACCGAATTTTGCCTCACTTTGACCCAAGAATTTGGATCAAAGTGAGAGCAGACCTGCCCGCTTGGTTACCAATCCTGGTAACCGAGCCCTTTAAATTTGTGGCATATTTTTCAGTTAGAAAATTAGATGTACCGCTGGTATAGGGTTGCCCTAAGGTACAGCGGGAGAAAAGAAGGAAAAAAAAAAAAAAAAAAAAAAAAGAGAGAGGGAGAGGGAGAGGGAGAGCTAGCCTCTCCGCTCTTGCTAGCTCTATATAGGAGAGCTAGCAAGTGGGCTCTGTAGCTAATATTATTCAAAGCAACATTCACTGCAGCCATTTCCATTGGGAACAACAGTCCTGCTTACTTCTGCTGCTACTTCTAATTTTCCCGTATACGTATTTCAATCTCCCCAGCATCCAAATAATTCAGATCTCGCTATATAGTCTATGAATTATTGCATTATTTCAGCTTTCAGCTTAGATGCATTTAGCGTGATTTATGATTGTCAGTTCATAAATGTGTGAATAACATACGTACACTATAATATACGAGCAGAATATTGAAACTTAATATGTTATAATTTTAAAATGTTATAAATTACCTGAATCCTCTTTTTCTTTTTCTTCATTTCTAGACTTAATTTTTTTAATAAATGCCCACATATGTTCTGGAATGCACAAATTACCTAGAACATATAATGAATGCAAGATCACTAAAATTTGATTCATATAATGAATGGAAGAATTCACAAAAATTTTATTATAACTCTTTTCTAGGGTCCAGAGAAAATGAGTGCTATAAATAAATATTTTTTAACCCAGGAAATCATTACAACTATTAAAAAATTTTTTACAAATAAAAAAGTATTTGAACATATGTCACAACAATAAATTAAAGACCATCCACACTCCTCCACTTTTCTTTCTTCTGGCCATCAATTTGTGGTCGCAGTATATATTGTTGATGATCCTGGTTTTTTTTTAAAAATTTGTTGGCTCAGAGCACACCGACCCTTGAAGGATCTATTGTGCACCAATTAAGTTATTCGTTTATTCTCAAAACATTGTTTTTGCTGCTTCCATGTATCTTAGTAGGCTGGTTGCATTGACCGTCTCATAGCTACTGGGGAGATCCATCAGTTCCTCCCCAAATAGTTCCAGTCTAAGCCTGGCTAATCTATCACATCGGCAAACAATATGAAAGGTTGTTTCATTCTCCTCATGACAGTATTTGCATAATGGATTCGTTGTCACTCAGAGATTGAACATATAGTAGTTTAACTTACAGTGGCCTGTATAGATTGCTGTAAGCTTTTTAAGAGCTGCTCTGCCCATACTCAGTAGCAGTTTGCTTCTTTTTTCACATGGACCTTTAAGGAACAGCTTTGAATGTTGTTATTTCCTCTCAGTCCAGTATTGTTTAAATAAGTTCCCATAAATCTCCCTAATCCTACTTTTGGCAATACTAAGGCTGATTCCACAGACAGGTTCAGGAGTTATGGGAATGGTATCTGAGCCCAATCTGGCTAGTTTATCTGCCTCTTCGTTGCCTAGTATGCCCGAGTGACCGAGCACCCACTCTATTGCATTCAGTCCGTTTGTTCAGTGCCGTATTGCATTCCTTGACAACCTTTGAATACACATAATAATTGTTTAGAGCACCTATTGCTGCCTGACTGTCGGTATAGATTGTAATATTTTTTCCGGTCACATTGCTTCGCAGTAGGTTTTGAGCACAATGGCAAATTGCTAGTATCTCAGATTGAAACACTGAAGCATATCTGCTAAGAGGTATAGAATAATAAGCCTCTATCCGGCTCTTTGTTATCTTTAAGATAGATGCCTGCTCCTGAGCCATAGGCTATTAGAGAGCCATCTGTATAATAATTAACACCATTTTTTGGTTTGTGTTGTCTGCTGGTTTCTATCTCAACCCCATATTTGCGGTCCAGATATTAACGGATTAGAGTGTCAGAGCGCATGGCTAGCACTTTGTCATATCCAATCCTGTACAGCAGTACTGTATGTCCACCTTGACAGGGGATTACCGAGCAGCTTTTCAGCTTGCTTAGCCTGTATAATTTATTTGTTGCTCAAGCCTCCACCTCCAGCCGCAGCGGTTGCATGTTCAACAATACCTCCATAGCAGCAGTCTGTGTAGAGCCTATCGCACCCGTTATCATACATGCTAGTCTTTGGATTTTTCCTAAGAAGGAAGAATTAGCTGCAGTCTTTGTTTTATGCCACCAAAGCAAAGCTGAATATAATATGATAGGTCTAACTGTCATTGTGTACAGCCAGTATACCATTTTAGGTTTGAGTCCCCAGTTTTTCCCTATCGCTCTTTTACAGCCCCATAGACCTTTGAGGGCTTTACTTGTTATGTACTGAACATGTTTAGTCAATGACAGTTTAAGGTTCAAAATGACACCAAGATGTTTTACTTCCTTGCTATGTGTCAGTTGGATATCATTAATTTCCAGCATTTTAATAAACACCTTTTTCTTCCTGGTGAAGATACACACATTAATTTTCCTAGGATTGATGCTTAGTCCATTAGTCCTGCACCAATTGCTGTGTGTTGCTGTGTTTCTTGTAACTATATATTAAAAAAAGTCAATGTTTCTACAAAAAAAAAAAAAGTGGCCTCACTATCCCAAAATGGCGTCCAACATGGTGGATTGACAACTTTTACTTGAATTAGTTTTTCGGTCACTGAGATTCAGCAGTTGGCTTAATTTCTTCATAATTTGTCTTTTATTAAAGCTGGGTGGTCAGAGAATAATAAAACACAAAAAATAATTGGTCTTGGCAATAAAAAATACCAGTAAAATCAATTTTCAAACTAAATTTGAAAATCAAGCACCAGTTGTAATTAAACGGCCAAAAATAATAAAACAATAAAGAATAAAACATCTAGAGAATACATTTATCTTTCTAAATCACTGAAATAAGTGTTGACATATTTGAAACAGTTCTTTAGAAAATGCACTTAATCAGACGAAAAGGGGCACTGGCGCACAGTGGTCAAAACTTAAACAAGTCGTCATTTTCTTCTTCCAGACAAAATTTTTATGTTTCCTTCATATGATCTTTGACATTAGAGTTTGCTAAGAGGATTTAAGTACCTAATAGGGCAAAAAAAGAAAACAAATTTTTAGGGTATTTTCCAACCTAATGAAAATTTCAATTTTTTTTTTTTTTTTTTTATGCCATCTCATAGAAAATTTAATCTTGAGAAGAAAATACTTAAATACTTTTTTTCGAAAACCCTTTCTGAAGAAAGTTACAATAGAAAATAACTAAAAGACGTGCAAATTTATGATTTTAAAATCACAATATCTTTTAAGGGAGGACGGGTTATAGAATGTGACTTATGTCATTTTGTTCATCAAGAAACATTAAACAAAACCCACCTATAATTTGGTTAGGTTCTAGTAGCTTTCCAGATGAGTAATCAACATTTAAAGTTTTGCATTTATTACTCAACATAACTTTTAAATTTTCCACCGAAAGAGGCAATAATGTATATATTTGATTGATTTCTATAATTTGTATATATTCCTTATTATGCTTATTTATGTACACAACTTTTAGTAGAATTTCGGTACATTAAATTTCAATAGTATCCCCAGAAGGCATCATCCAACTACTTTATTTTTCTTCATTAGTCTAATCCTCCTTACATCTTAGAACTCCTTACTTTACACTCCTCTATCCACTATCTCAATACCAGATCTTAATCTATAGATTTATACATCCCCTCCCATAAAACCACTTCCATCAGTAAATCCTTAGTCATTCATGCTACTTTCTTATGGAACTCCTTACCCATCTCCATACATCAGACCACGTCCATAAACTCCTTCAAACAACTCCTATTCCCCCACCTACAAATTCAAACTTGTAAAAATTACTGAGTTATATAATTATGTTGATCACCAGCAATTAATTGATAGAAGTCATTTTATTTTTATTTATTATTTTTTTTATATCTCAGTATTTATTGTATATATCTGTGTTTATCATTAGTATGTTTTGTAGATATTTATATTTTCCTTTGTATATATTTTTTTTTGTGGCGTAGGGAAGTAGCGACCCCATCGCCCAGTCGTCAGACTGCAACCAGCTGCTGGTCCTCCAGGTGGGGGGAACAAAAACTCTGACACTCACCCATGCACTACAGACAAATGTCAAATACAGTTCACAGCCTAGGGTCACCTACCCTAGGTAGCCGCCCTGGGCGGGGAAGCTTGCCAGGATGCTATGAGGAGGTAATCCCTCCACTTGACTCGGGGGTAGTGGGCTGATACCCCACTCCCCTTAAATTAATCAAATCACTAACAATGTAAGAAATAGAGCTGGACTGATTTTGCGGAATTCGACACGGCGTGGAAAAGGGTTTACTCGACTTGCAACCTGGAACGTATGTGGCCTGAATGGAAAGGAGTGTGAACTGGTGGAAGAAATGAAGAGAGCAAAGATCGATATCCATGCGATTACAGAAAAAAAGAAGAAAGGCAATGGCAAAATCAAAATACTGGACTACACTCTTCTGTTCTCGAGTGTCAGTGAAAACAAGAGGGCGGCCAGTGGAGTAGAATTTTTATACCACAATGACTTATGCTTGCCAGTCAAGAGGGATAAAATATGTGAATGATAGAATAATGGTTCTGGATATCCTAGAAGGTGATAAAATACATTCACTTATAGTAGCATATGGACCCAATGATAATGCTAGGTATGATGAAAAAGAAAAGTTCTTTAATGACCAGCAAAGGGAAAAGTTGATGATTGTGAAGGCACCCCGATGATTTTTGGAGATTTAAATGACAGAGTAGGATGTGAGAAGGAAAAGTGGAATGGAGTCGTTGAAAAGTTCAGCAAAAGCAGTGTCAACAATAATGGCGAAAGAATCCTCAGTTTTTGTGTTGGAAATGCATTAAGAATCGCAAACACTCTCTTCCCACATAGAAAAATCCATAGATTCACCAGAGAGGAACCAGGAAAAAGTGAAAGATCTGTAATAGATTATTTTCTAATAAGAAAAGAAGAGGTTGGCGAAGTAATGGCTGCAAGAGTCAAGAGAGGGTACGAAATTGGAAGTGTCGAAATTTCCTTCAACGTCCACAAAATAGGTTGATCTACCTATGCATTCTTTGACGACTCCTCTCACGTACGTCTTCTTTCCAGTAGTAGGATATTTCATCACCCACACAGTTTGACTGGCAAAGAAACTTTTCCATCGAGACTTTCTGTTACTTATCTTCTTTTGAGTGCTTAGCGCGACTTCCAGATCTCGAGATAGGTCTGGTTTCATCAAACTGAAACGAATTCGTAATTGGCGAGTAAGAAGAATTTCCGCTGGGGTTCTATTGGGAGTTATTTTGTAATGAAAAAGGAATCTGGTTAACTGTTTGAGTATGAGATGAGTATGTCTATTTTATCACTCTTTGAAACTGAAAAACGCCTTTTAAATGTCTGTACATAACGTTCGGCCAATCCATTAGATTTGGGGTGATAAGGAGCTGTCGTAGTATGTTATATATTATTTGAAGTACAAACATTTTTGAAAGGCTCTGAAGTAAATTGAGGTCCGTTATCGGACACTACGACTTTCGGTAAGTCAAATCTTGAAAAGGTTTCCCTTAATAACCGAATCCTTTCATTGGACTATTTATTGGGA